AAAGCTATATTTGGAGATATTTTGTGAAATACCTGGAACAATCACGATCTGTGTTGTGAAACTACTGTAAATGAACGTAAACGAAAAAATACATTCTGAAATCTATTTCATGGGATGACGCAGCATAGAACTCTAAAGAAAAGTCGGTCGGAAGACCTACTTGTTGCCCTAGCAACAAGAACGCATCTAGTTCTTATTATTATTCTTTTTTTTTGACAAAATTTTGTGCAGGCGATTTCTCGAGAACTATTCAGCGGTTTTCAACGAAACTTTCACAGAATATGTGTTATAATATGAAGTTGTTACTTTTGAAGGAAAATTTGGAAAATACGATTCCGGTTCCAAGTTATGGACAATTTCCTGATTTTAAAATGCGATTTTGTCGCCCCTTTTTATCGAAAATGGCTGAGTATATGAACTGGAGACTAATTGGAGATGATAGATCATGACTTTGTGGTTTGCAGAATCGTCTTTTCGTGCGTCGTCAGTACTTTCGGTCGTTACGAATTGCAAATTTAAAAAATTCGTATTTTCTAACTTTTTTGTTTTTCAGTATTTTTCATTTATATTTGGTATGGTATAAGAAGCCCTCCGTATAATGCTTACTATATAATTTGTTTGAATGGTGACAAGTCTAAACTCTAGATATTAGCATTCAAAAATCTGAAGCGGGTCCAAAATGGCGGCTGTCTCTGTCAACGCCGACATTTCGCAATAGTGGTTTACGGAGGCAGTCGAGCGTTTGCTTGATCGAAAGTAACATAAGAATAAATGAAATGTAAAGGAATACTTGGATTGTCACGTCGTAGTTTCGTTGCAGTTCTGTGTCAAACTAACGTCTTCTATAATTGGTTTTGGCTTGTTTTCAAAGTAGAAAAACAAAAGACGATTGTGCACAATGTGCAAATGAAATTCGATACTTTATATCTTTTGTGCATCACGGAAAAACATATAAGTAATACTTTCTCAAAAAAGAATATCAATTAATATTGTCAGTATAAATCTTCATCAGTGTTTTTCCTATACACACTTGTGTCATATTAAACTATAAATAAGACAAAAATAAGAAAACGATTTTTTTAGAGATCGCTTCATGGAGTTTATTTTAGCATTCTTGTTTCAAAGATCTGATTCAAGTTATTGAGCATAAATGATTTCTGATTCCTTGACCATCAAAGGGCGAGCCATGTTTTCCAGCGAAACGTTTCAACCTTTTTCGATTAACTAATCGGGATAGTTAAGTTTGGGGATAAACAGGAAATTGAAGAAAAAAAATCATAACCGTTTCACCGCTTTAGTGTTACAAGCATATATACAATATGGACTTTTTAAAATGTGTTAAATATACTTTCTAAATCTGGAATCTTAGGCTATGAGAACGTTCTTTTTTTTAATTTCATTGAAGCTATCACACTATTTAATAGAATATTCCAAAGAAAAAGCGCGAAGATTAACTCGTGGCGTTTGGCGCTAAATTTTGAATAGTGACCTGCCTTTCATTATTTTAAGAGAGAGGCACTGCTTCGTAAATATGTACAAGTAGATTTAGTGTAGATGTCCCTATAGTGTAATATTTAGTGCGTTGAAATTTTGTGCTGGCGATTTGGGTTCAATCCCCTTGTGTGCAAATCGTTTTTTGCATTTTCAGCACGATTTTACGTTTTCTTTCCGGAATCGGACGGAAGACCTCTCGTTGCTCGCAACGAGTTTCATCTAGTTATTATTATTTTTCTTCCTGGGAAAATTTTGTACTTGAGTGATCTTGTAAACTACACATCTGACTAAGGTAAAATGTTTTTAGGGTTAGTAGACATGTTATGTAGATTTGCCGAACAAAGGTCATTTTGCGCGCACGTGCTTGCAAGAGCACGCACGTGCAACACTTGAAATGACCGATTCAATTGATATAGGCATAATTTTTCACATTTTTTATGAAATGCTTTGAAACTCATAATATAAGGATATATTTGTGGCATAGACAATATGACATGGTCAAAATAGCAAGATCTCACGCGCATGCACGTGTGCTTCGCTCTGATTGGCTGAAACTAAAGTCTCTATATCTTTCTTGTTTCTGGACGAAATCCTTTGAAATTTTGAACATAGCCATGAATAAAGATTTCCTACAACAGGATATATAGCAATTATCATGAAAACACGTGCATGCACGTGCGCTGCAATCTGATTGGCTGAAACTTTAAATAGCTATAACTCCCTTGATTTTCAACCAAACAGGATGGGATTTGGAACATAGATAGATATAATGAACTTCTACTAGAAGGTATGGTCACCATGCACATGCATACATGTGCGTGTACGTGCGCTGCAATCTGATTGGCTGAAACTTTAAATAGCTATAACTCCCTTGGTTTTCAACCAAACAGGATGGGATTTGGAACATAGATATATATAATGGACTTCTACAAGAAGGTATGGTCACTATGCATATGCGTACACGTGCGTGTACGTACGCTGCAATGTGATTGGCTGAAATTTTAAACAGGTATAACTCCCTTGGTTTTCAACCAAACGGGGTGGGATTTGGAACATAGACAGATGTAATGGACTTCTACAAGAAGGTATCGTCACCATGCTTATGTATGCACGTGCGAGCACGTAAAATGGGTAAAATCATAAATACACTTGAATGAGCTTTTTTTTTTATATACTTTTGGATTAAATATTTAAAATTTAGCATATTAAAATATAAAGATTGTGTAGACAATATGATATGTCATTACGCACATGCATTCACATGCGCAAGTGTGCAATGATAAAATTTGAATGAACATGGTACGCTTCTGGGTAAACGTTGTTAAAGTCTGAAATCCATAGAGTTTGTCTTATTTAATTATGCTTACAGGGAATATGACTATAAAAGGGAGTTGGGGAGCGTTTGGGGAACATCTGTAACGGTCCCCGTTACAATTAGCACTAGTTAAATGTGAAAAAAAAACATTCCCATTTTTATTTATCTTTTTGTTTTCTTTTTTTTTTCTTTTTTTGTATTTCATAGAATGAAATTAGGTCATTTTTGAGTAGCATATGCAATTATGTGTAGCATTGATACTTGTACCAAAATCACATGCATGATTGATTTTCTGCACAAAGGCATTAAAACCACATTTGTTGATACCACTTAATCTTACACACATGATTGGCCAAGTATCCATAAGCAAAACAAAACAAAAGAATAAATCATAATCCCCAGTTATTTCCACATTTTTTACAAAATAAGTATATTTTTTTAATAACTTGTTTATAAATTAAAAACTAATTCATTATTGATAGATGATAGAGATAACGAACAGTATTCAATATCAAAGTGTAAAAATTCACCAATAATAATAATATTACGAATTATATATTTCAATGGCATTTCACACAAAAATTAATTAAAAATCTTATTTCATTTTAAAGTTATTAAAACTCTAAATTTTTTGGCGGGTTTGATTGACACATCCTTGCACTTTCACAAATTTGAACCTTATTCTCAATCCTTTAGAAAAGTGGCAATTTTGTTGTGTATTAATGAGAAATATTAAATTTTTTATCCAGAAAAATAATTTTATTCAGAGTAGAAATGTTAGAAAGCAAAACTCCTTCACAAGTACCGTCATTCCGAACTAGGAGTTGCGAACAGAGCTTAGCAAATCGAGCACACTCGTGTTATGTTCACAGTTTTTGTAAACAGGGCAAGAGTTCTGTTATTGTTGATGTTAATAATTCACCGGGTGCGTTCAATCGTAACAACCTGCTTACCACAATTGCATGGAGTGACAATATATTGCGTGTTTGTTTTCGAACATGTCTACTCTGAATTTTCTGGATTATAGTATTAATATTTTTCATTTATACACAACGAGTTTGCCACTTTTCCTAAGAATTAAAAATAAAATTAATCTGTGAAAGTGCAAGGATGTGTCAATCAAACCCGTCAAAAAATTTGGAATTTTAATATCTTTTATATGAAATAAGATTATAAATTAATTTTTGTGTGATATGCTATTAGAATATATAAGTCGTAATATTATAGAGAAAATAATAACTTCAAAACTGTATCCAAGTACCTTTTCATAAATAATAAGGTTTTATATGAGGGTTGAATAGAAACTCTTTTTTAGCGTGGTACTTGTAAAATTGTAAAATATTTTGATTTTTCAATTAAAAAATATCATATCTAACAGTAAAGATTTTTTTTAATTGGTGACAATGCAAATTTTTAGAAAATAATTTACATTAAATAATAAAATATGCCTACATATAGAGTTTTTTCTCATTAACCTATATTTTTAGGGATAAAAATATTTTCCCTAGGTCCTATGTAACAACTTTATTTTTTAAACCGTCCTAAACTACAAATGTGTGAATAAACAGTCCTTAAAAATATCGATTAACTATAATAATCTCTATTTATTGTGACCAAGTAATTACATATTTTAATTCATATATTTATTTGGGCTAATGCCGTACTCACTTTTGTAAACTTATTCCTTATTCGATTATTTGAATTAAGTGAGTATAATTCTAACATTTTGTAAAGGCTTTTGTCAAACACTCTTTTGTAATCTTATTCCTGACTGTCGTATTTTTTTATCAACTCAGTCCGGTTGTGCAGTAGGTCTGGGTATAAATACTCATGTTTAATTGAAATTACTTGTCCCGCCAGCCAGTTTTCAAGGTCACAACTCCTCGAGGCCGTGTTGTTCGTAAAGGTATCTCTTGAAATACTTTTCTTTTTCATATCTTGTTATTTTTTCATAACTTATGTTATTTTTCATTCTATTTGAAGTTATAATTATATATATTCTTTTATAGGAATATGCCATTGCCGTTTATTGCTGTTTAATAAAAAATTTAACGTGACCTGGTTTTGTTTCTGCTCGATTACATTATTAAAAGATTGTAAGAAATCCCTGCTTTTTTTAACAGTTTAAACTCCTCTCTACTGCAAGTAAACAAAATCAGAATACACAAGGGGCGGAGCTATCATGTCACACATGAGTGAACAAAGCAGTCCCAGCGAGTCCTGGGACTGTTATGTCTGCTTTCTAGAGCAGTCACATTGCGGTTCCAGAGCAGTTCCACAGCAGTCTAAGAGAGTCCTTAAAGCAGTGCCAGGACTGCTTTCTGGGACTGCTTTAGTATCAGGTTCGGTCAGGTCTGTACTGCATTATTTTAGAACGTATGATCTGTTCTTTAAAAATAAAAATAACATGAACCTCCATTATAATTTGAATTTTTAAGACAAAACGAATTAATATTGTTAAATTCATATTCTGATTTTAATCAGGAAGTCATATATTAGAGTAATATGAAAATATATGTAATTCAAGGTTCATTTATTTAAAAAAAACAAAAACAAAATGCTAAATGAAATTTAGATGTTAAAAATGATAATTTAAATATAAGTTAAATTATCCCTTTTTAAAGAAATACTGATATACTAAACAGAAAATAAGCACATTTTTTTTTCATCTTCCTATACCCTTTGCATTCTTTAGATTTGAAAACTCAATTCCGGAGCGTATACGGTTGAATAAATATGACAGACATTTCTTTGAATTTACTAAATTTGCCAGACAATGTAATAGATTCTTTACTACAGATTGGCAGGGGTGTCTTCCTGAAGCATTATTGTTGCCTAGGGAAGTTAAATTGTTGTTTTCCCATTTTTTTTAAAAGATTTTATTTGTAGGTTTAACTGTTTCACTTTTGTTTTATTAATCTAAATAAAAGAGTTAAAGTAAGTCTAATAATAAAGTTTTTTAAATCACCAGCGTCCCTTACTAATGCAGCAAAGGAGATGGGTGAACATGACGAGAGATAAGCCCATAGTGCAACACACATGAATGTGAAAAATTAAATCTCAATTTCATCAAAATTTTCCTTAATATTTCATTTAACATTAAAGTATACTTTATGTAAAATCTCTACAACTTGCACAAATGTCATGAAAGTTGAAGTTATTTGCTTATGAAATATGATACACACACAAAAGAGGACAAAACGAGTCATTTTTTCACACTATAACACTATTTTTCGTTATGAGTGGGTCTTCTCTCCATTTTTTTGAAAGGTAATCCTCAAAGTTTGCATAAAAACATACATATTTTGGTTTCCAAAATTATGGAGGAATGACCCACTATACCTAAAAAAATATATGTTTCTGACATAACTTTCGTATCTTTTTGAGAAATAGTTGAAGTCCCCTAAGTCAATGGTCATATCACAAAAATTATTTAAATGCCACTCTTCATCAGGACTAATGTAGCGTAGTGGTTAGCGTGCTAGTCTCAATAGAGAATGCAACTCAGGATTTTTATTGCCAGGGTTCGAACCCAGTGGCTACCACATTTATTTTTCTTGATAGAAGAATAAATTTTAACGAAAAATTTATCCCAGAATTTTTATTTATCGTGATTTACAAAAATCAATGATGAGGATTTTACTCTAAATACTAAAATAACAATTTAAATATGATTTTTATATATCTGAAGCTTGTGGGTTTTTTGCACGCTAAGTTCACCTATCTCCTTAAAGTTTTCAACTGCACACGAGGTTAAAATCTCTCGGATGATTTGATAAATAAATGCTATAGGTATTAATTCGGAAAACGATATAAAGTATTGCCAAAGAAGTTGGTGAAACAGGAATATCAGTAGTCTCCATGAAAGTCCTCACTTTTTAAGTTCTATTACAGTTATTACCTCTCATTGTTTCCCATTACATCCTTACTACGGTGAATTATTGAGCGGCGAATTTGAAATCTTTTAAAACAACACAATTTTGCAAGCAGAGTTGTTTTATCATTTTAAAGTTAAATTATAAGGAATGACTCTAATTCTTGGGAATTTTTTTCGAGTATTACAATGTACGTGGTTTGGGTCAGTTTGCCCTTTTTCATAATCTGCTTCGTCGTTTCTTAATCAAAATTGATTTAACAAATAATAACATTCCCATCTGTAGTCTACATTTAACAAGCACTTCTGTACGTTATGTGGATATAATTCCAATCTTATTTTTATCTATTGATTCCCTGTGTTTTGATTGGACGAAAACACGTTTAAGATAAAGTTTACACATCGATACAAATTTTAATGATCGGAACTACTTCCTTGATTAAGCTACTGGGCTATCGTATAAACAATGAAAGCAGTTATGTTTGGTTTGTTCAAGAAACTTCGGATTTAATTTAAAATAAAACTTGCGATAAATAGGAGTGAACAGGAGTGAATTTAAAAAAAAATCCCTGACGTCATATTCTCGACGTTCATAATACGAAGCAAATCAGCTCAGTATGTATCGTTTTTACATAGAAAAGAAACGTACCTCAAACTCTTGTCTTATTAAAATCAAATTCATGTTATTACTTTCTGTATTCTTCCTCAATTTTTTAAGAAACCAGTGCAAATCAAAGGAGGTGTCGGTCTGCTACTTTCGCTCTCATCGTTGTTGTTAATGTAAACATGGTCATGGTCAAGGACGAATTAACTACTCTGAAGTAAACTCGTAATTACGATATTTGTTGACTTAAACAACATTCGATAAGTTTTATTAGTTTATTTATGAATTGTTTTGATAATTTAAGTTCATCTCTATCGAAAAACATCTCGATAAGGTTTCTTTGCGGTATAAAGTATTCTTACGCCATACAGAAATAATGGATTGTATGGAGGCCTCAAAGAGGAATAATTTAAATAATTTAAGATAAATTCATTATTGATATTTTAAGATTTAAACATTTCTTCTGAAAAAAAATTATCGATGCGTAAACTCTTGACATTATACAAACAAACTTAACATAATAGTGCCTCGCACTGTTAAGGCCTACAACGAAAAATCAGCGGAAAATAGACATGCAAAAAAGGGGAATATTTTTGAAACTGAATTTATTTTAGTTAAGCTGTTTTATCACCACAAAACTTAAATACTTATGGAAATAGCATAGTATAACCCACTCTGTACTGTATGAAGTTTAGTCCCATCGATGCACAGTCACGTGATGAATGTATAGTTCGTGTACTGAATGGAAGTCATTAACAAATTTTAATATCAAAAGAGCATACAAGAGCATGTTTTGGCACACAAATGTGCTGCTGCTTTGAATGGAACTCGCGTTTTAGTAGTTAAATTTTAAAGTAAATAGGCCAATGTCGAAATATGTTTTACTTTTACCAAATATTTTGTGTACTTATAAAATCAAGCCCTCGATTTAAAGAAATCAGCAGCACTTTTCAAGTAAAGAAAATGTCCTTTATCTAAACTCAAAAAAATGGTTAAGATCTATGCAGTGTATGCCCTTGCAAAAGTACTATATGTATTTTATGAGTTATCTCGATATAAAATATACCTAACCTGTACATAAAACACGACAAAACTAATCAAATACATACTCTTGATAGTTAATGAATAATTGCACTAAAAAGAATATACATTGGTATTAATCGACTACTTAAAACCTGTAAATAATATTCCGTTTTATTATGAAACGCATTTTTTATTGTTAAAAAATTCCTCAATCTGCCTCTCACTGCACATGAAATACGACATTTTTACCAAGATGAAGTCATATTTACAAGTTCATCGCGATCAGTGCTTTGTTTATAACCAGCTACATGGGAGTTAACTAACAATTTTTTTAATGCATTGACAAGCTTTATTATTGTTTATTATTAAAAGATGCTAATAAAGTTGCAAATTATTTCATTTTCAGGTATTATGAGAAATACATAAAAGTTATAATTTTGACACAGTAAACTTTTCCCGTATAAATTAGGTCCCTCCCCCTTTTCAAGTCTTAACAATGCTGCGGAGTTTACACATCGATAAATTTTTCAAAAAGAACGTTTAATCCTATAACAATTTCCTTGTCAACAAATACAATCATTAAGTTAAACGTACGCCAATTGACATTTCATACCACTTGTTAGACCATTAACTCCTTATATAGTTTTCAATTATCATGACAATGAGCACTCGACAAGAGATATTTTCTTCTCTATGACACTTTATCCCAATTTGTTTTATAGGGCAATGTTTGATTTACTCCTATTTTATATTGTATGAACTTCTGAGCTCGGTTACCGTTATTAATTCCATATAGATACAGTCAACACTGCATGCCAGTGAAGGGCTTAAATCTGAGGACCTATACTGGTAACTCAGGGCAATATCATATTCAGCAGTAAGGGCTTTTTATCGTGCTAATGCTTATCGGCCAGGTGACGAGATACCAGTATATTTCAGTATCTGCACACATATTTTTACTAACTTTATTTCCTTTACACTAAAAGCTTCTGATAATTTTTTTTCCTGAATTTAACATGAAGAACATTTAAAATGTTACACGCGATGTTGGTGACTTTTGACGATACGCTTTCATAGCGTTACGGAAGAAATTAACGTAATGCGTCTTATAGTTTAACTTTCTTGACTGGTACCCTATCGCTATCTCTTTGTACTTGAAATACGAGTTTAAAAGGTCATAGATTTTTTATAATTAAACTCATGAACATAATGGGCGCTTTGGATTTGTATATAAATGATAAATTTTGTTCATTTTTCGAAGCAATCTTAAAAGCATTTTCATGTATTACGTTGAAGCAGAACGAATTTTACCCGTCAAGAACGTCCACTGGACAAATATGTTGAACCTCTTAAATGTTGCGTAAAATATTAATTAATGGAGTAAATTTATCAATCTGATATTCAATCAAACCAAGTAGAGTAGCACATTAGGAACATTGATTTTTTTCTGTATTCGATGGGAAAAACAATATAATTCAACGACTCGAAAAAAAGTCATTGTCTTATTTTTGCACGTCATTTTAGACGCTGGACATTTCTGTTGAACTTGTAGTCCAGTTACTAGTTCCTAAGCATGCAGTTTGATATCAAAATGAATGAAATATTTCAAATCTAGGAGAAAAGCACATTATTTTGATATAATTGTTTCTATTTAAACTTTCTTGTAAATGAGAAAATTTATTGTTCATATTTTTATGCACGTTTTTTAATAAAAGCGTTACATATTTTTCATCTGTAAAAACTATAGCTTTCTATTTCTTGCCAACATTTAATGCAAAATCGTATATAAAGTCACAAACGACATGGATTGCTCTTGTTTTGTGAGGAAAATGAAAAATCTA